TATATGTAAATATATATACGCCAACCAATCACGAGCGACTTTACTTGTTTAAAAAGAAGTGGTTCTGTCCAATACTCAGTAAGAAAATTAAAGCCTGGCGTGGCCACGTGTGGTTTTGCTGCCAATCACGAGCGATTTCATGCAGTGATAATACCAGCACCAAAGACATGGCGGCACCGGTGGTTGGTCCCGGGATTATCGAATGACCCAATAAGTGAACCTAAAATCTGGATGGAGGGAGGAGAGCGGCGACACCGCCACACAAACACATCTCACTCCTGCTTCGAGCTTGGCCCCCCACCCTGCACACGGACCGGACTTGCCACCCCTGGGGGTGGCAAGAGCCAAGAGCCATCTTGCGCTGGCCACCCAACCAGAACTGCCCCCCCTTACCAAAAAAACTACTTCAACCAGGCACTTCATGCCCCTCCTTCCAACCTTCTTTAGGGAGAGCAAAAGTGACAGCCCCACCACCGGCAGGCCACCAAGGCGCCGCAGCCAGCCCCAGCCAAAACCACGGACCAGGTGGCTCACTCTAGGCCCCAGACTCCGGGTGGCAGCCGGAGAACAAGGGTGTGAGAAGACCCCGATCCTCCCTGCGCGTGCTCAAATGTGGTGTTGTTGCGTGTTGCCCTCAGATGTAATTAAAACTGGGAGTACAAGAGGGGGAGTCCGGCACAGTCCACCCCCCCTCCGGGAGATAGGCGGTGCCAGCGCACCCCCCCATTCGACAACCCTGAACCCTCAATCTCTAGATGTGAGAGGGGATGGAGGAAGCCCACCGTGGTGAGGCCCATAAAATAAGCCCCCCCCTGGTGGCCTTGACCCCCACCCCCCAGAAAATAATAATAATAATACATTTTATTTCACAGCGCCTTTCTTGACACTCAAGGTCACTTTACAAATAATACAAAAAAATAAATAAAAAGAGATGAAAATACAAAATGCAGATACAAGAACATTAAAAAACAAAAAAACAAAAAAACAATAATGGATAGGGAAAAGAGCAGTATATTCACAGATAAGCGAGCTGGAACAGATGGGTTTTGAGTCTACCCTACATAGATGTGTGTTGTGGAAATGTTGTAGCTGAAAGTGTCTAAAATGCAAAATAAAATTGGGGTGGGGGACATCATCAGAAGGTGGGGCCCTCCAGTAACAACCCCCTCCCAGAACCTATATGTGTGGCAGTGTGATGTAACAGACAGAGGGAGGATTTTGGGAATGGGGAGCAAAAGACTGGGGTGCTTACTGCACTCCCAGGGAGCCAGCTCCCCTGCTGACTCCAATAGGCACCCCTGTTCCCCGAGAGCCCCTCCGGAGAGGGGCCCCCCACCAGTCTCACCACTGTAGCCCGGGGGCCAGGGACCGGCAGCAGGACCCACCAGCCAGCCGGGCACAGGGCCGACACCACCACCCTCCCCCCATCCTGTCCATCAACAAAAAAAAATAAAAAAATTGATGATAATAATAATTAGAATAAATAAATAGATGAATAAATAAGGGGGGGACAACCCCTGTCCATGCCCCTCCCCAGCCCAACAGGCCTCGAGGCACCCCCGCACACCAGAGGCCACGGCAGGGGTGGACAGCCTGGCGTACACCGGCCCAAACCCCAAGCAGTACTCCCCACAGAACCCGAACCCCCACCGGGGCCCCCGCTGCCCGCAACCAGCCCACAATAGACACACATGAACCCCAGCCGCGGGCGCGACCACCTATGCACCCCCCCGGACGACGCAACCACACCAAGCGCCACAGCCAACCACCTAAACCCGATACCGAAAGACGAGTTATGCCCCGACACCCTGCAGAACCGAAGCACCCTGGCCGGCACCACAAAAGAACTGGTGCCCGGCACCCGGCACCCAGCCCCACCCAGCAGCAGCACAGCTACCAGGCCAGTAGCCCACGTCCGCCACCACGGAACTCTCCAAGAGCACCGCACGCAGCCGCCATAGGACCCCCCCGAGGCGCCCCAGGCCCCGTCCCGATGGGGGCAACAGACCCCAGGGCTAGACCCGCCAGGCACCCCACTCCGAGCGCCACCCCTGAGCCCCCCAGGACCCGAGGACCCCCGAACCAGCCCCCACGCCCCATAGGACGCGCCCCAAAGCCACCCACTACACTAAGTGATGGAGCCGATCAAGGGAGCCCAGAGAGATCGGTCTGATGGAGATGCAAATGCTGTCTCAAGATTAATATGATCCAGCAACAGATCTCTGATTGATGCTGAGTTTATCCTTACTTTTCCAATTCATGAGGATAGTTTTCTTTGCGATACATAA